CCTGGAACAGGCTCGGGAAAATGCATCCTAAATTGGAACACAGAAAAAGGACGTGCACATTTGACGGGAGCTTGTTGTTGAGGATTGAAGACAGTCATTTGGTGCTTAATCTCAGTAAAAGGGACGAGTGTTTTGTGCGTTGGATAAGCTGGTTTTCACTGAACAAACAACACACATCAGTCACGGACAAAAGAAATCCAACTCATCTATATCAATCCGTGCTTCAGTGCTTGCGACAATTTGCCTCTTTCCCAATCTTTAATCTTTTCTAATCTCTTGAAAAAAAGTCAGGTGTTTATGCCCGGAAACGGGAGGGGATTCTCTAATATATTTGCGTGAATTATGCCTTAGGAGTTGTGCCAAGGAATGCCCCACCCCATTAACGGACTTTAACCTAAGCACAAAGTTACCTCCTTTGCAAACGCAGTCTTGGCTGTGGGAGACAAGTTACCTCCCAGTCCTCGGATCAAACAGCAGGCGAACTCGGCTTTGACCTTGACCCTGTGCATGTGTGACAGACCATTCATGACCACGCCCACTAGACTCGTCTCCACGACAAACTCGTTCTGTTTTAGTACCCAGTCCAGCGCCTTGTAGAAGTGATCCTCTAAAAATGTCTCCAACATGCGTCGATCCTCCTCGGGTTGGCTCTGAAGCCAGGATTTGACAAGAGCTTTCACGTCCGTGTCTTCGTCACTGAAAGGAAAAATTTTGTCCTTTATTTCAAAATCAAATAGTTGCTGTTTGAGATGTCATGTCATTAAAGTTTGTTTTTGAGCTTTGAAGGTCATTCCATGCAAAGTTCGTGCGTAGAAATCTAGCAACCAAAGAAAATGGAAAAGGGAGGTAGTTTCTCCCTATAATAAGAGAAAACCAGCAAAAGAATAGGGGGTTGCTCAAGATGTGTCAGCTGAGTTATGGCCCTCAGTGGATGATTTGTCGGATTTGTAATATGATGTTCTCGCTATAGTTACAGTTATAGAGCGTTGCCAGCAAGCCAGGCAAATTTATCGGAAGAAATAAGAAGGAAGTTCGGCATGAGAAAAGAGTTCAACTCCCACAAGATTGGTTTGGGACACCAACGTGGCCAGCGTTTCATTGTTTTGGGACCCCAATATGGCTGCCGTGAGGACATGTACAAAACAAAATCTACTGAGGCTCATTTACGTTTCTCAATGCAATCGTTACGTTATGTCTTCGAGCGAGTGTGTTTCATAATTTATTACCACGAGAGAATGAACCTCGTACATGGAGCTTCCACTATGTTTATGTATTGTTTGAGAAAAATATATCGACATGTTACTGAAAAGCTCCCCGTTTTGTGCCGAGTAATTCACCAAGCCATATTTGTCATTCTCTCAATCGGGTAAACAATGGTTTTCACTTATGACGATTAATCGCTCTTTTAAGTTTTAACGGCAGGTCGTAATAATTTAAAGTCATATCCCTCAGTCATATATAGGTTAAGTCTGCACACGAGCCAAGTGGCCCATCAGGCCGGTGCTTATCTCCGGTTTCAATTCTGTTGCATGAAGCGACTACGAGTATTTCTACTCCCCCACCCCCTAGATTGGATGTTAGTCCATCGCAAGGTTACCCCCAGCATTAAAATCACCGTACCCATTTATACACCTGGGTGGAGAGAGGCACTGTGAGAGTTAAGAGTCTTGCTCAAGAACGCAACACAATGTCCCCGCCAGGGCTCGAACCCGAACCGCTCGATCCGGAGTCCAGGCCACCGCGCCTCCCCGTTAGTCATATATATAGCAAACAAATTACTTTTGCCTTACCTCAGAAATATCATACCCATGCGTGAAATAGTGGCAGGCGAGGCACAGCTCAGGTCATGTGACTCAAACAGGAAGTTAACATTAGGACCAAACTGTATCCTTTCACCGGAGGGCATGGTCAGCAGTCTGTTGTCATCAAGGACAGAGTTGAGAGATTCGATCCACTCGGGATCAATGTCGCCATCGCACACGATCCACGATTGGACATCGATTGGTTCACGAACAACTTGGCGAGCTGCGTTCGTTAAAACTCCGTCCGACCACTCACGAGTGTCCATGTCAATTTGCCCCAGTAGCTATTGAATAAATCAGTACTAATGTAAGTGAAGCGGTGGAATAAGCAAAATAACGATGGGACTAAATAGGCCTGGGAGTGGTACAGGAGGGTGTCCTAAGTACGCACCAAAATATATATTGCACTCATCATTGCTCATGTGCATACCAAACTCTAGTGTTTAGAATGACAAATTCGACCGCCACAAAGAAAGGAAGTTGAACGGCTACATTTTTGTCTGGCTGTTAAGAGAACAATTCAAACAAAAATAGACGCTACTGATGATTTAATCGCTTAACAACATTAATCTCGTCCTTTGCTGAAAGGCTTACGTTCATGAGAAATGTGAACTACATCCAGCAGACCAAAGGTTTATAACTGTTACGCGTTATGTTGCAGATACTGGATTCACATACGAATTAGTGCGCAATGTTTTAGATGTAGAAGACGATTCCACTTCTGCAAAATCGTGCGCAACATTTCTGAGGTGGAAACATGGTGCACATTAGTCCAAAGCACGAATTGCTGCGAACGTTTGTTTAGAGCTTAAAGAAGATTCACGCCATTTGAAGAAAACTAACACCGTAATAAAACACTAACCTGAGTTCGTGGCATAGCCTTTGGATTCATTGTGTAGTGTTTCACTGTCTGGCCCACTTTACCAAGGGCCAGCCGCAGCAACTTCCAGATGGTGCTTTTACCTGAGCCGGAGGGACCAATCACCACAACGCCCATCCGCTGACGAAGCTGTTCATAGAGCTCAAGGGCCTTCTTTACCTGATTAAAATAAGACAAAATTTAGAAGCCACACCCTCGATAATGGTACAAAGGAGCTTTGTACATGACAGACTGTCTTGGGGTCTTCACCTAAGTTAACTGACAAACATCGAACCATTTTATTGAAACACTGACCCATAAACCATTCATCACAGGCTGTTCTTTTAAGCAATCTGGGAGTGTCTCGGTGTGCCACAGATTTCTTACAAAATCAAATTAGAGAGTAAACTAGGAAAACTTGTGTCAGACTATTGATAAAGAATTTACTTTGTGCCCATTATTCATAAACAAATTTTCATCAACTAATTGTATGAAGTGGCTCTATGAGTAATACTTACCTGGGTCTCCATGACCATAAGGTTAGATTCCTGAGCAGAACTTCTCAAAGCGTCCGCCAATTCAGCATACTCAACACCTTTGAAGTCCACACCTGGGAATATGTCGCGGACGAGCGCATCGAACCTCTTAGAGTCTGCAAAGGTCAGTTTGGACAGCGTGTTCACACGCAGAGCTTGAACGACTAGTCGAGCTTCCACTTTAGCGTTTACTGAAACAAAACAAATTGAATTAAAAGAAGAATCAATGCAGCTACTGAAGAAGACAACGTTTATCTACGAAATAAGTTTTTGAACATGTTTTACTATTGGTATGTAAGGAGATTTGGTTCATTTTTGCAAACCTTTGAGATTCAAACTGAACCTCTATCAGACTATTCAGTCGGTTTTACCATTTTGATATTTAGAAGGGAATTAAAAACTTGATCTTTCGCATTAGAGTTTCATTTACCTTGTCCGTTGGTTTGTTTGTGAGCTTGTAACAAGTTTCCACAGCCTCTCAATACTGTCTTGAGTGCACGCAGACCCCAATCATAATGCTGCTGCTGAGACAAAAGTTCCCTGAAAAGACGAAAGTCATGAGACTTTCATTAGCTAACACGCCACTATCAAAACATGAAACACACTGTATCAAATCAGATCGAATTCGTTCCATGACGCCAATCACACGGGAAGAGTTACATTCTCATGCAAAAACTCTGTTTTAATATTCCATGTCCCAAGACCAAGACACTAAAGAAGTCCATCACCTGTGTTGGGGCCAAACTTTGGAACAACTTTGACAATGAAGTCAGAAATATTGACTCACTTGACACTTCTAGAAGAACAATTAGGAACATGCCACGTGAATTTTACAGTTTTTAAAGACCGACTCACTAGCTTTTAAATCTTTTTTATTGTTTCATAAATTTGTACTTTATCGCATTATTTCTGTAATCAATAGTTCTCTTCTTTGTAAACACCTTTTAAATAGTCTTTTAGCTAGTTTTTAATTTTTAGACACGATCACATCAGCGCTGCTGTTATATCTTTATCGAGTATAAATCAATGCTTTACGTTAACTTACCGTACTTAAGCATCCACTCTTAATTTTATGATAACTGCACAAATTCTCGCGCGCTTCTTCTACAGTAAGACCGGAACGAGATCAGACAATTTGACAATTTGTTATCGTAAAAACACAAATTGACGTCAGTTTTTCATGCGACTGTCCTGTTATTAACAACGAATTTCGTCATAACGACAAAATCCATGATCAATAACAGGACAGACGCATGAAAAACTGACGTCAATTTGTTAATTGGTTGATAAACGAAGCGATTGGCGCTGTGATTTGTTCCATTTTAACTTTATTATCCTGGTTATCAAATGATCATACTGAATATAGAGAATACTGAAAGCTACCGTGTAATAGTCTTACTTTGATAAGTTAAAGATGGCTACCAGCTTTCTGCCCAAGCTCTTGGCTTCTTTTAACCCTTCAGAGAACATGATGACCTCAGCAATCAGTTCGTTGTCAGGACGGGACATGGCCACTGGACGGAACAGTTGCTTCAGGTTATCTGGGAGCTTTTGACGTCCCCCATAACCTTTACCCGCAGGGTTCAGAGTAATGAAGATCCCCGAGTTAGGATCTAAATCAACCTAAGATAACGAAACCACAAGTTACAATCAGACTTAATATGGCACANCAGACTTTAAGATAACACACTCATCCTGAGGCACAAAAAGTTCAAGGGGTTCGCTCTCATTTCTAGTTGCTTAGCTCCAGCTTTATTGTAGCTACTATAAAGAAAACGAAAGTCAACGAAACCAGTTCTCTACCTGTTGCAGAAAGGCTATGAGCTGACTAGTTCCCCACTTGTCCGGTTTTGGCAGGTTAAGGTCCTTTAGATACAGTACCAGTCTCTCGCAGTCCTTTGGTCTGTACACTCTGCCAGTGTTAGAACTGATTACCATACAGGACTGCTGGAGCTTCTGAAGAACGTGCATGGGAGAGGTCTGGGCACTACAGTGTACCACAGCTACCTGGGTCGAGCGAAGCTGCTCAAAACAGTGCCTCAACAGGAGCCTGAATTAGAAATGTACCGAGATAAAAAAAAATTGAGCTCCTTCACGCTTTGTACGAATATGATCTGTTCAACGTATTTCGTTAGCGGCTAAGTTGCTGGAGACGTTTCTTGTTTCTTCACACTGATCCATCATAATTATAAGAGACAAGGTTGAGTAGCTATTCCTAATATAGTTATTAGTAGGCATGGCTGTGCAACAAAGCAACCTCATGACTATGAAAATACCTGTAAATGTCACGTTTTGAAACATTTTTCACTGAGGTATATCGCGTCATAACAATTGAATAGAAAGGCATGGCATGATCAATCTTGACCAATGATACGGCTTCAAACAGTTCGTTATCTAACAACTGAAATATGTGCAAGACTTACTCTTTGCCGCACCCCTCTGGACCGACCAACAGGAAAGGCTTTTTATGGTCTGGATGAAGCCAAGGAGAAAACATGTCCAGGCCTCTCTTGATGTCAGCGGTCTGAATCACGGGCAAGAGGCCTGTGGACAAGTTCAGGTCATGTACGCCGAGCGAGTCTGGAACCTGGCGTAACAAAACAATGGTCAAAAGATGTAAAATCCTTAAAAACAACAACAACAGCAACAACTTGTTGTCTTATACACGACATTCAAGAAGGTCTATATTACTATTCTCGGTCATTAACAAAAATCGTTACGTGCATAAAAGACAATAATTATGGAGAATGCGGTATTTCTTCAACCCCTTCCTTGTTTATGGCTGAGGATAACAGCTCCTTAATTGACTGACTCACCTCCAGTTGGTATGAAGCCAGCCGTCCTCTGTCGCTGTCATAGTAGGTATCCAATGGCCTCTTCTGATCTGGTGGCATCTCGTGAGTCCAGTGAAACACCTTAGAGAATAACATGACAACATGGTAGCTTTTATCAGTCAGTGTAAAGTTTCAGGCAAAATCTCATTTTTAAAGCAGTGTTTCGAAACACTACGCGTAATGGATCAAGGAAGCTATGAATCTTTCACTGGGGAAAATGTAGCCTGTTCCAGGCTCTCGGCCAGTGGGGACGATCGAAAACGCGAGCGGGCGACGAGCGTGATCAGCAACGAGCGGGATCCGGCCGGGAGAGAAAAGGACCCCGCTCGTCGCCCGCCGCTTTTTCGATCGTTCCCACTGACCGAGAGCCTGGAACAGGCTCGGGAAAATGCATCCTAAATTGGAACACAGAAAAAGGACGTGCACATTTGACGGGAGCTTGTTGTTGAGGATTGAAGACAGTCATTTGGTGCTTAATCTCAGTAAAAGGGACGAGTGTTTTGTGCGTTGGATAAGCTGGTTTTCACTGAACAAACAACACACATCAGTCACGGACAAAAGAAATCCAACTCATCTATATCAATCCGTGCTTCAGTGCTTGCGACAATTTGCCTCTTTCCCAATCTTTAATCTTTTCTAATCTCTTGAAAAAAAGTCAGGTGTTTATGCCCGGAAACGGGAGGGGATTCTCTAATATATTTGCGTGAATTATGCCTTAGGAGTTGTGCCAAGGAATGCCCCACCCCATTAACGGACTTTAACCTAAGCACAAAGTTACCTCCTTTGCAAACGCAGTCTTGGCTGTGGGAGACAAGTTACCTCCCAGTCCTCGGATCAAACAGCAGGCGAACTCGGCTTTGACCTTGACCCTGTGCATGTGTGACAGACCATTCATGACCACGCCCACTAGACTCGTCTCCACGACAAACTCGTTCTGTTTTAGTACCCAGTCCAGCGCCTTGTAGAAGTGATCCTCTAAAAATGTCTCCAACATGCGTCGATCCTCCTCGGGTTGGCTCTGAAGCCAGGATTTGACAAGAGCTTTCACGTCCGTGTCTTCGTCACTGAAAGGAAAAATTTTGTCCTTTATTTCAAAATCAAATAGTTGCTGTTTGAGATGTCATGTCATTAAAGTTTGTTTTTGAGCTTTGAAGGTCATTCCATGCAAAGTTCGTGCGTAGAAATCTAGCAACCAAAGAAAATGGAAAAGGGAGGTAGTTTCTCCCTATAATAAGAGAAAACCAGCAAAAGAATAGGGGGTTGCTCAAGATGTGTCAGCTGAGTTATGGCCCTCAGTGGATGATTTGTCGGATTTGTAATATGATGTTCTCGCTATAGTTACAGTTATAGAGCGTTGCCAGCAAGCCAGGCAAATTTATCGGAAGAAATAAGAAGGAAGTTCGGCATGAGAAAAGAGTTCAACTCCCACAAGATTGGTTTGGGACACCAACGTGGCCAGCGTTTCATTGTTTTGGGACCCCAATATGGCTGCCGTGAGGACATGTACAAAACAAAATCTACTGAGGCTCATTTACGTTTCTCAATGCAATCGTTACGTTATGTCTTCGAGCGAGTGTGTTTCATAATTTATTACCACGAGAGAATGAACCTCGTACATGGAGCTTCCACTATGTTTATGTATTGTTTGAGAAAAATATATCGACATGTTACTGAAAAGCTCCCCGTTTTGTGCCGAGTAATTCACCAAGCCATATTTGTCATTCTCTCAATCGGGTAAACAATGGTTTTCACTTATGACGATTAATCGCTCTTTTAAGTTTTAACGGCAGGTCGTAATAATTTAAAGTCATATCCCTCAGTCATATATAGGTTAAGTCTGCACACGAGCCAAGTGGCCCATCAGGCCGGTGCTTATCTCCGGTTTCAATTCTGTTGCATGAAGCGACTACGAGTATTTCTACTCCCCCACCCCCTAGATTGGATGTTAGTCCATCGCAAGGTTACCCCCAGCATTAAAATCACCGTACCCATTTATACACCTGGGTGGAGAGAGGCACTGTGAGAGTTAAGAGTCTTGCTCAAGAACGCAACACAATGTCCCCGCCAGGGCTCGAACCCGAACCGCTCGATCCGGAGTCCAGGCCACCGCGCCTCCCCGTTAGTCATATATATAGCAAACAAATTACTTTTGCCTTACCTCAGAAATATCATACCCATGCGTGAAATAGTGGCAGGCGAGGCACAGCTCAGGTCATGTGACTCAAACAGGAAGTTAACATTAGGACCAAACTGTATCCTTTCACCGGAGGGCATGGTCAGCAGTCTGTTGTCATCAAGGACAGAGTTGAGAGATTCGATCCACTCGGGATCAATGTCGCCATCGCACACGATCCACGATTGGACATCGATTGGTTCACGAACAACTTGGCGAGCTGCGTTCGTTAAAACTCCGTCCGACCACTCACGAGTGTCCATGTCAATTTGCCCCAGTAGCTATTGAATAAATCAGTACTAATGTAAGTGAAGCGGTGGAATAAGCAAAATAACGATGGGACTAAATAGGCCTGGGAGTGGTACAGGAGGGTGTCCTAAGTACGCACCAAAATATATATTGCACTCATCATTGCTCATGTGCATACCAAACTCTAGTGTTTAGAATGACAAATTCGACCGCCACAAAGAAAGGAAGTTGAACGGCTACATTTTTGTCTGGCTGTTAAGAGAACAATTCAAACAAAAATAGACGCTACTGATGATTTAATCGCTTAACAACATTAATCTCGTCCTTTGCTGAAAGGCTTACGTTCATGAGAAATGTGAACTACATCCAGCAGACCAAAGGTTTATAACTGTTACGCGTTATGTTGCAGATACTGGATTCACATACGAATTAGTGCGCAATGTTTTAGATGTAGAAGACGATTCCACTTCTGCAAAATCGTGCGCAACATTTCTGAGGTGGAAACATGGTGCACATTAGTCCAAAGCACGAATTGCTGCGAACGTTTGTTTAGAGCTTAAAGAAGATTCACGCCATTTGAAGAAAACTAACACCGTAATAAAACACTAACCTGAGTTCGTGGCATAGCCTTTGGATTCATTGTGTAGTGTTTCACTGTCTGGCCCACTTTACCAAGGGCCAGCCGCAGCAACTTCCAGATGGTGCTTTTACCTGAGCCGGAGGGACCAATCACCACAACGCCCATCCGCTGACGAAGCTGTTCATAGAGCTCAAGGGCCTTCTTTACCTGATTAAAATAAGACAAAATTTAGAAGCCACACCCTCGATAATGGTACAAAGGAGCTTTGTACATGACAGACTGTCTTGGGGTCTTCACCTAAGTTAACTGACAAACATCGAACCATTTTATTGAAACACTGACCCATAAACCATTCATCACAGGCTGTTCTTTTAAGCAATCTGGGAGTGTCTCGGTGTGCCACAGATTTCTTACAAAATCAAATTAGAGAGTAAACTAGGAAAACTTGTGTCAGACTATTGATAAAGAATTTACTTTGTGCCCATTATTCATAAACAAATTTTCATCAACTAATTGTATGAAGTGGCTCTATGAGTAATACTTACCTGGGTCTCCATGACCATAAGGTTAGATTCCTGAGCAGAACTTCTCAAAGCGTCCGCCAATTCAGCATACTCAACACCTTTGAAGTCCACACCTGGGAATATGTCGCGGACGAGCGCATCGAACCTCTTAGAGTCTGCAAAGGTCAGTTTGGACAGCGTGTTCACACGCAGAGCTTGAACGACTAGTCGAGCTTCCACTTTAGCGTTTACTGAAACAAAACAAATTGAATTAAAAGAAGAATCAATGCAGCTACTGAAGAAGACAACGTTTATCTACGAAATAAGTTTTTGAACATGTTTTACTATTGGTATGTAAGGAGATTTGGTTCATTTTTGCAAACCTTTGAGATTCAAACTGAACCTCTATCAGACTATTCAGTCGGTTTTACCATTTTGATATTTAGAAGGGAATTAAAAACTTGATCTTTCGCATTAGAGTTTCATTTACCTTGTCCGTTGGTTTGTTTGTGAGCTTGTAACAAGTTTCCACAGCCTCTCAATACTGTCTTGAGTGCACGCAGACCCCAATCATAATGCTGCTGCTGAGACAAAAGTTCCCTGAAAAGACGAAAGTCATGAGACTTTCATTAGCTAACACGCCACTGTCAAAACATGAAACACACTGTATCAAATCAGATCGAATTCGTTCCATGACGCCAATCACACGGGAAGAGTTACATTCTCATGCAAAAACTCTGTTTTAATATTCCATGTCCCAAGACCAAGACACTAAAGAAGTCCATCACCTGTGTTGGGGCCAAACTTTGGAACAACTTTGACAATGAAGTCAGAAATATTGACTCACTTGACACTTCTAGAAGAACAATTAGGAACATGCCACGTGAATTTTACAGTTTTTAAAGACCGACTCACTAGCTTTTAAATCTTTTTTATTGTTTCATAAATTTGTACTTTATCGCATTATTTCTGTAATCAATAGTTCTCTTCTTTGTAAACACCTTTTAAATAGTCTTTTAGCTAGTTTTTAATTTTTAGACACGATCACATCAGCGCTGCTGTTATATCTTTATCGAGTATAAATCAATGCTTTACGTTAACTTACCGTACTTAAGCATCCACTCTTAATTTTATGATAACTGCACAAATTCTCGCGCGCTTCTTCTACAGTAAGACCGGAACGAGATCAGACAATTTGACAATTTGTTATCGTAAAAACACAAATTGACGTCAGTTTTTCATGCGACTGTCCTGTTATTAACAACGAATTTCGTCATAACGACAAAATCCATGATCAATAACAGGACAGACGCATGAAAAACTGACGTCAATTTGTTAATTGGTTGATAAACGAAGCGATTGGCGCTGTGATTTGTTCCATTTTAACTTTATTATCCTGGTTATCAAATGATCATACTGAATATAGAGAATACTGAAAGCTACCGTGTAATAGTCTTACTTTGATAAGTTAAAGATGGCTACCAGCTTTCTGCCCAAGCTCTTGGCTTCTTTTAACCCTTCAGAGAACATGATGACCTCAGCAATCAGTTCGTTGTCAGGACGGGACATGGCCACTGGACGGAACAGTTGCTTCAGGTTATCTGGGAGCTTTTGACGTCCCCCATAACCTTTACCCGCAGGGTTCAGAGTAATGAAGATCCCCGAGTTAGGATCTAAATCAACCTAAGATAACGAAACCACAAGTTACAATCAGACTTAATATGGCACATTTTATTTGCATTATCGGCTTGGAAATGTTATGGTTAGGGATTTTAACTGCTCAAAATAGTTTTAGCCGCTTTCTAATACATGTTTAAGCGCGATACTACGCTTCGACAACAAACTTTACTGTAGAAGTAAGCTATATCTAAATGTACTTTGAGTACCAAGTGCAAAAGTTCAGTAAAACTGCCAGCTTAATCCCAAGTTACTAAAAGGGACTTTTCCCCTCAACTGCAAAATAATAAAAAATTCATTACTCTATAACTGACAGTCTTAGTCCAATATCCAAAAAAGTCTATCAAGTAGCCAGGGTTTGTGGGATTGATCTATCACTTGAGCAAGTTACACTTCTGGACATGTCAGTTCACTTTGTAGGTAGAAGATGGAAAGCCAATAGAAATGGCCTTATAGCTTAGCTACAACCCTAGGCAAAACTAGTTGAGACAAATTGAAAACTGAAAAATCTTTATTTTCCTGTTGCCATGTGATAACAGCTTTTTGGGCCGCTTAAGTTGTTATCCTTGTTACAACCATCCAGAGGGAAACACGCTTGCAGCGACGGAGTTTGTCAGACTCCCAGAGGACTCAAGATCTATTACAGCAAAACAATCCAACGGGAAACAGAGAATACGCAGTTACTTGGGTCCAACAGTAGAGTTTAATCCAGTAACGTACACAGAACGTAATCAATACGGGATAGTGGTATCCGGCGTCCCACCACCGGGGGCGTAACCGAAGAACAATTTATAAAACACCTGTATATATGCTAGGCTCTAAACAAATGATCTAATATTTCGTTTAGTAATCCTAAAACCCTATTGGCTGTCAATGAGCTCATTGTTGTTCTAGGCTATTCCATCATAAGCAGTCAGTTACTCTGCTCGTTGATACTGACTACTTACAACTTCAGGTAGTTCTCACTACAAGGCGTTTCACGATAATACATGATAGACAGGTGGTTACCATGGTTATTGGACTTTCACTCAACTGCTAACTGTTGGCTTTTTTATGGTTATGAATATCGGCAAATTCTCCCCTCACAGCAAGACTAAGTTCCAAAACGTCTTAAAATG